CCCCTCTCCACCCCACCCCGCCCATCAGCCGTCACCCATTCTCTGCTTCCCTAGAGCAGCAGAGCTTCTTGAAAGAATCAGCTAGGGTGGTGGCTCTCAACCGGGCCGACGTCATTCCCCTGGGGACACTTGGCAGTGTCTGGAGACCTTTCGGGTTTTTGAGGAGGTGTGTCCCAATAAGAGAGAGGCAGAAGGAGATTCAACACACACAGCAAAGGCCATGTGAGGACAGAGGCAGAGCTGGGAGGGGTGTGCTAGGAGCCGAGGAGTGCCAGCAACCACAGAAGCCAAAGGGGCCAGGGAGGACCCTCCCCTGGAGCCTGCAGAGCGGGTGCAGCCCTGGCGGCACCTGGATTTCGGACTTCCGTCCTCCGGGACTAGGAGACAGTAACCCTGCTGTTTCCAGCTACCACGGTTGCGGCCGTTTGTTAGGGCAGCCACAGGAAATTCATCCAATGGGTTTGCAAAGCATTTACAATTGTTTTATTTTGCATTTCACAATTGCTCTGGAGGTTGGACATATTTTCATTTGCTTGAGGGCTATTCAGGCTGCTTACCGGTTCCATTCAGTTTAGTTTGTTTCGTTTTTTTGTTTGTTTGTTTGTTTTTTGGCCGCGAAGTGAGGCTTTCGAGATCTTAGTTCCCCGACCAGGGACTGAACCCGCGCCCTCGGCAGTGAAAGCGCAGAGTCCTAACCGCTGGACTGCCAGGGGATTCCCTAGTTTGTTTAGTTTTAACAGGTTTACTGAGATACAATTCACCCCTTTGAAGTGCATAATCCGATGGTTCCAGGGAGGTGGGCCTCGTTGGTCACTAGCTCCCGCGCCCTGCTCTTAGACTGGACTTGCCGGCCCTGTCTTCCCTTCTGGTGTCTTGTGTGGCTCCCGCTGGCCTGGTTCCAGTCACAGCCAGGGATGACCTCAGACACCCCACCTGCCCACAATGCAAGGGGGTTCTCACGCTCTGCCTGGAACGGCTCTCCACAGCCCTTGGCCATGGGTGTTTTGGTCCCTTGGGACAGGCTGGGGGTTGGTGTGGGGACAGGGTCAGACCATACATGAGGGATAGCGGTGGGGCCTGAGCGCATTCTTCTGCTTCCCAGAACCTAGCAGGTGCTCAAGAAAGGCTCGTGGAAACATTAGTAGCCAACACTTAAGAGCACCGACACCGATTTTGCGCCAGGAGCTATGAAATGTCTTGTCTATTCTTTCATCTTCTCATGTGATCCTCTCAAGAACCATGACAATTAAGTGCAAATGTTACCCCAGGGAGGCTCAGGGAGGTTAAGTAACTTGCCTAGGGTCACACAGTAAACAGGAGAATAAGGGAAAAAAGGAACGAGGTGTGCCGCCCTGCAGCCACAAGTTCCCCAGCCCGTCCAGGCTCTCTCTGCAGCTGCCAGGGCCCCTCCCTCTGCCCCAAGGATGCCAGTCGGGCACATTAGGAGAGTGCAAAGAAGGAGCCCTGCAGGGTGGGGATGGGGGCATAGACATGAGGACCTGGTGCGGGGGGCCTCTGTGGGCCGAAGAGCCCTGCAGGCTGAGGGCGTCCTGGAGGAGGCTGCCAGGGTCCCACTGATATTTTCATCCTGTAACCTTTCTCCTTATCAGGTAACTTTCTGCCAGGCCCTCCCAGCAATCACAGAGCAGCCTGGAGTTGCCAGACCTGTTCCCAGGCCAGCTGTGCCAGGTCGGGTGAGGCAGCTGCCGGACGTGTCGATGTGTAAACCAGGAGGAGGCCAGACTAGCTGGAGCTTCGGTTAGGTCAGTCCGGGTGCCACTCCAGTGCCAGACGTGGGCCCACGGCATCTGGTGGGGGGCTGCGCAGGCTCCTGGGAGGATTGGCCGTCAGCAGAGGCAGGGGTGAGACGGGCCAGGAGCAGAGTCGGCACATGTGAAGGCAGCATGTCAGGCAGAGAGCAAAGGCTCAGCAAAAGGATCCAGGGTCGGAGCCCACACCTGCGGGGTACCTGGGGTCCCGGGGTGAGGGCCAGCAGCACGAGGTGTGGGGAGAGGAATGGGATGTGAGGACACAGGGTGGGGGGCCATGGTCCTGGGGCCTGGCTCAGTGCAGGGAGGTGGGTGCTGCCCTGCCCCAGCTGTGCACGTGACCTCCGGCCCATCATGCTGTCTAAGCCTCACTCCCCCGCCCCGCAACCCCTGTGACACCCAGGAGTACGCTCGGAGGAACCGTCCATCCCTGACCTCTGCTGGCCTGGCCCCGGGGGTAGAGGCAGACCCTGTCCTCCCTCGAGAGGCTCCCCAGGCTGGGGGAGGAGGCGGCGTGTGGGCAGACGGGGGCCAGCCAGGTGTGGCCCGGGCTGTGATTGGGATGTACCGGGGAGTTGGGACGAGGGAAGCTTCTTGGGAGGTTTTGTAGAAGGAATACTCACTGTTCATTTCTGATTCTGGAAGCATTGGATGCTCGCTGTAGAAAATTTGGAATCTGCAGAAAGATGCTGAGAAGTCAAAAAAAGTGCAGGGCACACACTGATGCTGGTGAGGAAGGTGCTGCAGGGCCACCAGACCTGGGACTGAAGCCACCAAGTAGCAGCTGTGAAGAGGGCAAATCGGATCACCTCTCAGAGCCTCGGGTTTCTCTTCCTTACAACGAGGTAACAAAAAGACCTTTGAGGCTTAAATGAGACGATGCTCGCTGAGCGCTGGGCCCCAGGTGCCAGCTCTGCTTCCCCTCCCACCTGTGTTCCTGGGCCCACAGAATAGATCCCAAATCCCTATGTGAAGGTCCTGTCAGGCTGCTGACCTGCCCAGTTGCATCTTGTTTCTCTAAATCTGCCCCCACAGGGCCTTTGCTTGTGCCGGCCCCTCTATCCCGAGGCCTGCCCTCCGAGGGCCCTCCCCTGCCCCTTTCCCACTGCAGTCGGGGCCTCTGCTGGGTCTCCAGCCGGCCTCTCCCAGGGCCTGCGGCACCAATTCAGTTATTTGTTTTTGTTTTGTTTTGTTTTTAGTATTTATTTATTTGGCTGCACCAGGTCTTAGTTGCTGCACGCGGAATCCTTTAGTGGCAGCATGAGGGATCTAATTCCCTGACCAAGGAGCGAACCCGGCCCCCTGCATTGGTAGCATGGAGTCTTAACCACTGGACCACCAAGGAAACCCCACCAGCTCATGTTTATAATTATCTTGTTTTCAGTGTCATTATCGTTCCATGTCTAGACCGTGAGCTCTGCACAGGCTGGCTAGGTCTGCCGTGGTCACCTCTGTGGCCCAGGTCCAGCCAGGCCCTGCCTGGTCAGCAGCCAGGGTCCCTAGTCAGCCCCACCTCAACGAGCACCTGGGATAAGGAGCAAGGGCCAGCCGTCCCACTCCAGGGCCCCTGGGGATGCGGCTGACCTCAGCCCCATTCAGCCGTCTGCCTCCTCATTTGACTGGGCAATGGTGGGGCTGGGATTTGGCCATGCAAAAGCTAAGCCTGAGGCTGTCCCCAGGCACTCCAGGTGTGCACAGTGAAGACACAGACAGTGACAGTGGAGAAAGTCAGGGAACCCCTGACCTGCTTGCCTCACCTGGGAAACGTATGATTGAGCTGGGGCCAGGGTCCCTCGACAGAACTCAGGACACCTGGGTGCCATAGCTCACCCCAGACTCCTCCACTCCGGGCCTTGATTCAGCCCTAGAGAGGCTCTAGGGAGCCATGGACAAAGTTAGAGCAGGGCTGATCGGACCACGAGCCACTTGAACCCCGCAGGGAAAGCCGGGTGAGAAAGGTGATGCTGGCACTGCAGGCAGAGCTCTGGGTCAGCCCTGCAACTTGGAGGCCTGAAGGGGCTCCAGGCAACCCTGGACTGAGGGTGGGCGCTGCCAGTGGTCAGGGTTGGGCCCAAAGCAGCCCCAGCCAGGCCCAGCTCCTCCAGGACGCACTCAGGAGGAAACAGCCCCCTGCCCGTCTTGGCCCGGAGCCGGGGCCTAGGACTGACTGCCCTCTGTCCCTCTGCAAACTGGGGCAGGGGTCTAGGTGGGGCCACCCCTGGGCTGGCTGTGGGTGGGCACAGCTTAGGGCCCGTTCCAGCCCAAGACATGGTGGACAAGTCCTTACTGAACACCTACTGTGGGCCACGTCCTCCCCGAGGCCGTGGGATGGGGGGAGGGGATGGACAGTGCCGGGAATGAGGGCCTCACTGCCAGGCGGAGGGAGGTCGTTCTGCAGGTGTTGCCCAGGAACGTGCCCAGTCTCTGTTCCTGTCTCCCCATACTCCTCAGCTTGGGTGGCCCCCTGAGCCAGGCACCAGTGCTTTCCCCGTCTTATGGTTCCTAAGAATAATAACCTCAGTGTACAGTACAGGCCTGTGCTGTACATGCCTATGGAGGAGTGCTGTCCCCACGTCCCAGATGAAGAGACTGAGGTTCAGACAGGAGGAGGGGGAGGTGCCGATGGGGCCCCCGGCCCACAGGGTGCCCACGGGGGACGTTGAGACCCATCTCACTCCATGGCCAACACTCTGAGGCAGAGGTCCTGGGCTCAGGCCTGTGGGATGCTGCTGGACTCTGAGGACGACTTACGTCCACACACAGAGAGAGACAGAGACGCAGAGACACAGAGAGACAGACAGACAGACAGACAGAGACGCGGAGGAACAGGCAATGGTACGGTTTCGTGGCCCCAGCTGGGGTGCTCAGAGCGCTTCCTTGCTCAGGGTCCAGGCAGTTCCCGCCCAGAGGCCCTGCTGGGCTCCTTCCCACACCCATGCCCCATCCCCCTCCGCCCTCAGCCCCACTGGGGCTCCCTTGGGCGTCAGGCCAAAGCCCGGATGAGCTCCAGGCCGCAGTCAGCCGTGCCGCAGGCCTTCCCATGGATGCCCCGCCAGGGTGAGCCCGCGGGCCAGGCGGGGGGCAATTCCAGGGCGGCTCGGCCCAGGCCCAGGGAGAGTCGCTGACTTTCTCGGGACCTCTGTCTCCTTGTGGGGACTCCACTGCACAGGCAGCTCGAGGACTCTGGGGGACTGGGCTTTGGGGTGACCCTCGGTGGGGCCTCACTGTCCCAAACCCCAGCTCATGCCGCTGGACTCGGCCTTCATCCGGAAGGAGCCCTTGGGCCCGGGGCTCATCATCGCCCCCTGGAACTACCCCTGTACCTATCCCTGGTGCCCCTGGTGGGCGCCCTTGCAGCAGGTGAAAGAGAGCCTCCTCCTTCCTGCCCCCTGCCAGTCCCCCCAGCCTCGTGGCCTCACAGCTACCCACAGAGCCAGGAAAGAGGGGCACCAGGTGGCTAAGAAGGCCTGGTTCCCATCTGGCCCACCATCCCCAGGCTGTGTGGCCTTGGGGCCAGCAGGGCACCTCTCTGAGCCATATTCTTCCCCTGAAGGTGGAGTGAGGCCGGCAACTGCCCTGCAGGTGTGAGGACTGAATGGAGACGGGGAGCGGCTACAACTGGCCCCCCCTCTCCCCGCCCCGCCCCGTCCCGCCCCTCAGGGAACTGCGCGCTGCTGAAGCCCTCGGAGGTCAGCAAGAGCACTGAGAAGGTCCTGGCCAAGGTGCCGCCCCGATACCTGGACCAGGTGAGGGGGGGCCTGCTCCCTCAGCATCTGCGTCCCACACCCGCACCCCTGCCGGTAGGAGGTCTGCAGTGTCCCCTGAGCCGTCTGCCCCCCTTGCAGAGCTGCTTTGCCGTGGTGCTGGGCGGGCCCGAGGAGACGGGGCAGCTGCTGGGGCACAAGTTCGACTACATCCTCTTCACGAGTGAGGGTGGCCCCGGCCAGTGTCCTGGGGGGGAGGGACATAGAGAATGGGGTGGAGAAGGCGGGGGAAGGAGGAAGTGGTGGCCAGTGGGGTAAAGCATCCCAGGTGGCAATCAACCCAGGCAGGAGGGCCTGGCGCGGTGGGATCCGGGGGCAGCCGGGCAGGGGGCATGACCCAGTGGGTGAGCCAGGATGGGCTGGGAAGGTGGTGCCTGAACCATCTGGCTAAGGGCATTTGAGGCTTGGGGTCAACTCTCATGTCCCCAGGTGGCCCCCGAGTCGGCAAGATCGTCATGGCTGCTGCCGCCAAGCACCTGACACCCGTCACGCTGGAGCTGGGGGGCAAGAACCCCTGCTACGTGGACGACAACTGCGACCCCCAGACTGTGGCCAACCGCGTGGCCTTCCGCTATTTCAACTCCGGCCAGACCTGCGTGGCCCCCGACTATGTCCTGTGCAGCCCCGAAATGCAGGCTCGACTGCTGCCCGCCCTGCAGAGTGCCATCACCCGTTTCTATGGCGAAGACCCCCAGAGCTCCCCAGACCTGGGCCGCATCATCAGTGAGAAGAATTTCCAGCGGCTCCGGGGCCTGCTGAGCTGTGGCCGCGTGGCCATCGGGGGCCAGAGTGATGAAAGCGATCGCTACATCGGTGAGTCCCGCCCTCCCTGCCACTGTGCCCGACTCCCAGCCCACCCCAGCTAAGCCCAGCCCCTCCACACTGGGGGCCACAGCTGGGCCCCGAGTCTGGGCCCAGCCTGTAACCTCGGGCCCTGAGGCTCCCCGACCCCACTGCTAGAGCCCAGCCTGGTCCACGGCTCTGGTGCCACGATTCTGTGACACTAGTGTCCCGCGTTGCCGTGTCTGAGCCTGTGACCCCACGACTCAGCACTCTGGCCCAGGCTCTGGATTCTCCAAGCTCAGACCCCAGAGTTCTAGCGTTCAGGTTCCAAACTTCAGCCCCAAGGTCTGCTGCTCCACGGGGCCATGACCCCAGGTCCTATGAGCCCACGATTCCCGGTTCTGGATTTCAACAGCCCGTCCTGAGCACCCGCTATGCTGTGAACAAAGCAGTCCCAGTCTCCTGGGCCGAACGACTCAGAGGGTGACGCTGCTCCCCAGCAGGCTGGGACCTGGGACCTCAGGTCCGGTCACCCTCTGACTGTAAGACCAAGGCTGAGGGGCTCTCTGGGCCCCACGGGCCCCGCTCAGGCTGGGGAGCCCCTCAAGGTCACTTCCAGGGGGCTGTGGGGAGATCACCTTCCCCAGAACGTCCCTGAGCCTGGAGCCCTGGGTCCCTGGGCCCTGCCTGCCCGAGGCCCCGCCCCGGGGGCTGAGCCGTGCCCTGTGCCCGGGCAGCGCCCACGGTGCTGGTGGGCGTGCAGGAGACGGAGCCGGTGATGCAGGAGGAGATCTTCGGGCCCATCCTGCCCATCATGAACCTGAGGAGCCTGGACGAGGCCATCGAGTTCATCCACCGTCGGGAGAAGCCCCTGGCCCTGTACGCCTTCTCCAGCAGCAGCCAGGTGGGGCTGGACAGAGGTGGGAGCA